AGACAGTGGGGCCTTTAAGAGGCGGAGTCTGGCGGGAGGCCCTTAGGCCACTGGACGCACTCCCCTGGGAGGGAGCTAAGGGAGCTCTCCTGGGACTGGCTGTCACTAACAAGCCTGGCCCCTCCCCTGCTCTTGGCTTCTGACCTGCTGCTGCAATCTCTCCCCCACCCAGTCCGCCACTGTGACCCCCTATGACAAGGTCCTCACCAGGGTTGACCTGATGCTGGGGCTGTGTCCTTGGTCCCCCAGCCCTGCCAGCTAAACAAACCTCTTTTCTTTATAAGTCTCAGCCTCAGATATTCCACTATAGTAACAGAAAATGGAAGGATGCGCTTTTACAGGGATTTTCTTGAAAGAAAAAAAATGTATTTTATATTTACACACACGTTTATCAGTCTGGCACGCTTTGCTCCTTTAAAAAGGCTGCAGAGGCGAAGTGTTGCCAAGGAGGTGGAGTTTGGGATTGGGAACTGCTGGTGGGAATGTAAAATGGTACTGCTGCTTTGAAAATGGTTTGGTGGTTCCTTAAAGAGCTAGACACATACCTACATATGATCCAGCCGGTCCCTTCCTACATAGTTACACAAAAGAAATGCAAGCATGTTTCCACAAAAGATCAATACACGAGTCATCACAGCAGGTTCATTTGTAATAGTCAAAAACTGGAAACAGGCCAAGTGTCCAGCAACAGATGAGTGGATTAAAAAACTGTTAAATCTGTGTAATAGAATGTATTCAGCGATAAGAAAAGGCAACAACATGGCTAAGGTATTCATTATCATGTCGTCAGAAAGGAACCCGAAAGAAAAGAAGAGCCATTTTCGATGCTGTTTTAATTTTATGAAGTTCCAAAAAAATGCAAACTAATCTACAGGGACAGGAAGCAGCTTAGTTGCTGGTTGGAGCTGAAGAGCGAGAGGAATGGATTTCAAAGCAGTAGCAGTACAGGGAATCCATTTTGAGGGGGATGAATAAATTCATTATCTTAATTGCAATGATATTTCTATGGTTGTACATGTGCCTGAATTCCTCAAATCTTATACTTTAAATATGTATCATTCATTACACGTCAATTATGCATCAATAAAGCTGTAAAAATTTATTGGGTAGGCTTAAAACAGATTGGAAATGGTCATCAGTAAACGTGAAAATATAATAGAAGCAGGGGTGGTGGCCCATGATCCCAGCAGCTTGGGAGGCTGAGGTAGGAGGATCATACTTTTGAGGTCAGCCTCAGCAACTTAGCAAAACCCTGACTCAAAATTTAAAAAAAAGGGCTGGGGTGTAGCTCAGGGGTGAATGCCCTTGGGTCCAATTCCCAGAACTGGAATAAATAAAGGAGGAAAAGAAGGAAGGGAGGGAGGAGAGAAGGAGGAAGATGGGAATGCTGACTCCAAGGAGGAAAGGCCTGGTGACTGTGCTGGAAATGGAAATGGATACTTTTTCTTAATTTCTTTCAAAGACAATTAAGCATTTAAAGCAGAACATTTTTTTGAAGAGTGTAGGGTTTCTCATTTATGTAGAAATAAAAAGCCCAGAGGACAAGAGAGGCCTAAGCGGATGAATGCCCCTCGAGTTTTTGCATCTCGCACGACAGGATGGGAGAGGAAGTCAGGGTGAGGGAGGTGAGTCGGGCTGCCTATCGCCACACCTGGAGTGGCCGCTGCAGGGAACGCAGACGGAAACCTCTAGAAAGCCAGGAGAAAGAAGTAAGCACAGTCGGTCACCCCCAAAGAAAGCCCAGCAAGAAGGGAGACCAAGGAGGAAAGGAAACAGGAGGTCACCAGGAAACGAGGCGTGCGTCCTGCCACATCGACGGTCACTCAGCTGTTCAACACCTAAAGGACCAGCCATCCAACTGGACCAAACTGTAGAAAAGGAAAGCCAAGGCCTGACTCTGCGCTGCCGACCAGAGAGCGTGCGCTACGACAAAGAAAACATCTGAATCAGAACGACAGGAGGACCGTGGCAGAGGTGTGTGCAAGGTCTAGTGTCAACATGACGTCAAGGTGGAGATCAGCGGAACGTGCCAGCAGGGGACCAGGAGCAGTTCCTCCAGAAAAATAAGAACAACAGCCCTAAACATGCATGTGCTTGTGTCGTGTGTGTGTGTGTGTGTGTGCATGTGTGTGTGTGTGTGTGTGCGTGTGTGTGCGTGTATTCGTGTGTGTGAGCACTTCCACACAAGTGAGACCCACGCCAGCAGGACTAACGGGGAGACTCAGAGCCCCCATCACACTGACGTGCTGGGCTCCAGAACTGCGGGAGCCGGTGGTGCTCTGTGGTGAGGGCCGGGAGGTGCTTGCCTTGGGCGCAGAACCTAAGGGGGCAGGAGAAAGTGTTTAAAAAAAATCAAAATTAATGCAGAAAAATTCCTGATGAACAAAAACTCGAAATTGTAAATAGAGTTAGGATCAGTAATTTCAAAGGTTATGGGGTCAATCAACCCAGCATCAGTACAGATCCTTCCTGATGTACAATTTTAGTATTTTGCTTCACACTTCTAAATAATCCATGGGTCAAAGAAGAAATCATAAAGGGAATTAGAAAATATTTTAAACAGAAAGATAATAGACTAAAGTTATGGGGAAAGCTGGGCTCAATCCCCAGCAGCCACATCTCTGCCAATAAATAAAAATAATTCAGGATGTGGCTAAAACTCTTCAGGGGGAAACCTTTACCTTGAGATGCTCATATAAAAAA